AAAAATAGGCCATCTTCTAGGTAAGCAAAATGCAGATTATGTTAACCAATTATTGGTGAAATCTTTCACCAAAAAAATAATAGTAAATAACCCTGGACAACTAATATAAATAGTTAGATATACATATTTTTTGTAAATACATACATAATAGACACAGAAAACACCCAGATCGATACAAACAAGTATGATTGTTCGTATTTCAAAAATGTAAATGTTTGCACCGTGCGAGAAATCGAACCCGCCACCATCTTAAATAAAGCGGTGTACCTAAACTTAAACGCTGGACTACTGAAGCTTAAAATCTACAATGCTCATTGTTACAGCATAAGCTGTATTATATTTAAAAAGAAGTGTAGTTTCTAACAATGATTCCACGTCAAGTTGGAGCGGGTTGAGAGCCGGCAACCCTACCTGTCTGGCGCACTCGCACTCATAATTCACACTGGTATTAAAAGTACGAGTAGAGAAGGATGCACGTGTTTTGAAATAAAATACCGTCTGTTACGCGCACGTGCTCCTATCACATAATGTTTGCACAGATAGGCAAACTGAATAATATAAGTACCTATCTTACTAATATTATAAACGCGGAAGTTTGTATGGGTTATTCTAATGTATAAGCAATAGATATTACTGCAAACTTTCATCAAAATCCAATCAATAGTTTTTGCGTGAAAGAGTAAAAAACAAGCATCCATCCACGATCACAAACTTTATCAGTAACTAATATAGACTTTATTTTATTTAAAATAAAATACAGATACTTCAATATTTGCTCGGGTGCATTATTGCAGACAACGTCTTGTGAAAATTACTTATACATTTTTGTAACTAGACGAAGCACCTTTATGAGATGGAAGACTTCCTACATCACCCACCAGCGAGCTAGTTATTAGATTTCCTTACATCGATATTGAGAAGCTTTTACCGCGGAAACCAATAAGAGGCCCTCCCTTGTCTGATACGCTTCAACGTACCTTCCACAACAGATTGATTTATGTTTTAGAACTAACGTGGAAGAAACAATAGAAAATACAAAAACCTACTCTTTACAGAGAATGTGTACAAAATACACGTATGATGATAATAATAATTCAGAACCAAATAAGATTTTGACCAAATTCACAATCAAAAGGTAGGTAGTAAACAAGGACTTAAGTAATTACGGTCACAAAATGTAAAAAGTAATAGTAAGGTATAAGGTGAGGGTATGATAATGAGATGAGTTATGAAAATAAATTAAGCATAACTTATGCTTGTAACAACAGAAATAAATAGCACTCGTTTCTCTCTGCCTACCACGTAAGGGTTACGGCATGAAAACAGAATTTACGAACCACAGCAAAAATAAAATGCACGACCCGAAAAAATAACGACTAGGCGACGCGTGAACGAAGCCTGACGGCGCTAAGCGCTTTGTCTAAATGATTACACGGTAAATAACTTATTATGGGGGAGGTTGTTTCATTTTTACGGCTAGAGACAACTAACTTTTATGGCTGTCATTAACGTTGGAGTCAGCAATTCACGCATTCACACTACGAGCATGAATAAGCAATATTTCCTGTCGTAATATATATGTGTGGATTGATATGGTATTATTTAAACACATATAATACATTTTACGTACATGTTTTCAGGACTGTCATATCAGAGGAAGTAAAGTTAAGAGCCATTGTAACATTGTCAACACTCAATTTCATGGAGAATATTAGAATCCAACAGTGCAGAAGGTGAGCAGTACAGTAACAGTGCAGTATTTCGACACATTCGGATTGTATATAAATCGGTCCTCACATTATTAGGTTCTGTCGGACGATTGTCCTTTGCAACTATCTTTCGATTGGTGCATTTGGCTCTACGCTCAGAACTCTTTGAAAATGCGATATTTGCAACAGAGACGCATAGGACAATCGTACAACTGAACCTAATAATGTGAGGTCAGGTTAATATGAGATTTATTTCGCAAATAAAAAAATACCGTATTAATTATAAAAATCCATGTGATCAAAATGGGAGTAAATCCATGTAAAAATGCAATAATCCAATTCCTTCAACCTGAGAACTCCTTCACCCGATTTAAATAATAAAAACAAAATGATAATCTTCTTACATTTCAATGCTAACTTTGATTCATATTTTGGTTTGAATTTTCAGATACTTAATTAACAGAATGAGACCGGGTTTTACCGCTATACCTACCTACCTAATTACTCATAATGTTATTCAATCATAAATTATTCATATTTATAATTATAAAAAATAACTTGAATAAATAAAAGAACGGATCTCGGACAATCTATATTTACCAAGTGGGAAAAGAATATTTAATAGATTCTTTCGCTACTGCAAAACCGATACGACGCGACGCAGATGTCGTCCTCTCATTCTATCTACGTCATGCGTGTCATGATAATAGCAATCCATTCACTATCAATGGATCTGATTATCATATGACAGGGCATTTGAGAGGGCTTTGGTGCCAGGGTGTCTTCGAAATCTATTACTAGATTTCAAAAGCCAGTGCCAGCGCCCTCGACGCTATGGCGATGAAAAAGGATTACCACAGTGCCTTTCGTGTAGAACTGTTAATAACATATATTATACATACGAAAGTGCGTCTGTCTGTCTTATCTTTTTACGTCATTGGAACAGATTTTAATGGAATTTAATATGAAGATAAGTGGTATTACGATGACGAATATCTGCTCTTTTATCTAAACAAGGATGGGATAAATATGGGACGAAAGACTATGCAGACGAAGTCGCGGGTAATAGCTAGTATACCTACCTCGAATAATAAGAAACATCAGAAAAAATCAACTTCAAACGTATTAAATGAAAACATAAACAAAAAAAATACAGCAAAACCGAGACCCCCCTCCTTTTTGAAGCTGATTAAAAATACATAGCTATTACGCAAATGGAAATTCACCTGTTTTTATTATGACTGTAAATAGAAACCTCATGAATACTGTAGCGCCAACGCTGGAAATACATTAGGTATCTGTATGATACCGTATCAGTAATATATAAAGCAGTGGTTCTTAACCGGTGCTTCGTAGACCACTGGTGGGCTATGGAAACATTTGCATTGGTCTGTGATAGCAATATCACAATTGGTGAAAAAAGATCTTGACACACCGTCATGATTTTGCTACAAAAATATTTTTTTATTTTTTTTTTTATTTATTTATAACTCTTTATTGCACCTTAAAAACAATCCAAAGAAAAAACAATATTCATAATATACAGAAAGGTAGGCTAGGCACAAAAGGCGGTCTTATCGCTAAAGCGATTTCTTCCAGACAACCTTTGGGTAGAGGAGAAAAGACAGAAGGTGGTGGATGGCGCAAGACAGAATGAATGGACATGAATAATAATAGTAATATGTCATATATATATCCATATATATATATATATACACATAGCATAAATAAATATACATACATTATACATAATATAAATATAAATATAAAATTAAAAAAGTAAATTAGTAATAATACACAGTAACTAAGCAATGTGCAAATAAGAAAGAGACAATTTAGTAGAAAGAAAAGAATAGTAGAAAGACAATTTAATGAGAGAGATAGTGTGATTTTACAGCATTTTTAAAAATAGCTAATGATTGAGCGCTACGTATGGAGGATGGTAGTGAGTTCCACAGTCGCACGGCGTACACAGCGAAAGAATTGGTGTAGAAGGAGGAAGTATGGGATAATATAATAAATAGCTGTTTTATTTAAATAATATTTGTACTTTTATACAGAACATATATCAATTTTACCAATATTATAAAGGCAACAGTTTGTGAGTATGGATGGACGAATGTTTGTTACTCTTTCACGTAATAACTGCGAAACGGATTTTAAAGAAACTACAGTAATATAACTTATACATCAGAACAACACATAGGCTTTAAATTTGATACGGGTGAAACAACGGGCACAGGTTGTTTAATTTAAACTTATGTTTACTACAACACATATAAGCCTCAAATAGTGGATGGTTTATGGCGAAACCGAAATTTTATGAAATGGACCCCCACATATGTACAGAAAGTTTTAGAACCACTGGTATAAAGGATAGCTGGTTGTTTGTTCTTCAGAGTTCAGACGTTCCAAGGCGTAAATTGTTCCATCACGTTTGTTTTTGTTTATCTCCGTCTGAGGCGTACGCACGTGCGGGCATCTCCTTAGGTACTTTTCGTATATCTAGTCCAAAAAGGACAGAATAACATACATATTCTTAGGTATATAGTTTAAAATACCGTATACCGTCAATATAATAATTGTAAAATCCTCTATATATAAGTCACTTAAAATATACTTTGGCTGTAATTCTACATACTTTTATATGTTATGTAATTAATCGGTAAGCTGTAACCGTTGCTGATACATGACCAGCCCTACGAACACCAAATTGATCCCCTCCCAACGATCTCCCGTTCAATTCATTATGACGGTCTGAACCGAGATTCAAAAGTTTAGAGGTGCTCTCGGACAAAAGTCGTATCCGTCAGGCGCGAGTTGACCTTTAGTCTTATATAATAAGTCCTTCCGTGAGTTTGGAGTGTCATCTGCACTCGCCCCCTATCATTCGGTGAAGTTGTAAAGACCAGCTTCTGCCAACAGCATTAAATACTTTTAAAAAAGGATATCACGTTATATTGATGTCCACGGCACACTCATGAAGACTAAGATTGTTGGAACTTAAATTTATATCTGGCCGTTATTCTGTAGAAGACAATTTGAATTTAATATAAAGAAAATGTCTTCTATTGTTCGTAAGATTTTCTATTGACATATCGTATGTGAGCCTTGTTATTTCTACCAAATATATATATTTTACTTTCATATTTCACTATATTTACTGCCGCTGTGCATTCTACCCCTACAATGGTTATGGGCCCAGGACAGGCCAGAATAGCATAAATAGATGTGGAATATCAGTGAAATAAGTGATTTTTGGTGAATTTAAAATTCCGTTGTAAAGCAGATATGGCGAACTCAACTATAAGGATTGAATCTCTAAATCGAGAAAATTACGACAGTTGGAGGATTCAAGTACAGGCATTACTTATAAAGAATGATGCCTGGCCATATGTAAGTGGGCGTAAGCCAAGACCAGTGGATATAACAGAGCTGGAGAAATGGGAAACGGAAGATGAAAAGGCGCGAGCAGATATTATTTTATGTATGAGTGGCAGTGAGTTGCGGCACGTACGAGGGTGCACTACTTCACGCGAGGTATGGCTTAAGTTGGAATCTTTGTATGCTTCGAAAGGTCCAGCGAAAAAGGCAACGTTGTTAAAACGACTGACTCTACATAAAATGGTAGAAACCGATGACTTACGAGAGCATCTGAATGGATTTTTTGATGCAGTAGATAAGTTGGGTGATATGGGTGTAAACATACACGAGGATCTGCTCTCCATAATGTTATTATACAGTTTACCGGCGAGTTTTGAGAACTTCAGGTGTGCCATAGAATCCAGAGATGAGGTACCCCATCCAGATTTTTTGAAAGTTAAGATCTTGGAAGAGTACGAGTCGAAGAGACAAATGGCGAATCCACCAGAAGGGGTGCTGTATTGTCATAGTAAAAAGTATGGAAGATCGTTCGTTAAGAATAGAAAGGAAAAGACAGATTTTAAGTTTAAATGTTATAAATGCCACGAATTGGGTCATAAAGCCAAGGACTGCAAAAAGAAGAGAGAGACTCAAGGAGGGAACTTAGCACAAAACTTCGTTAAAAACTATAGTCTAATGTTATATAATGTTTCAGATCCAGAACAATGCAATGCTTCCAATATAATGTGTAAAAACGACTGGATATTGGATAGTGGGTGCACGTCTCATTTATGTAACGACCCGCGTAAGTTCGAATCTCTGAACAACAATTCGGATAAACTGAACTTAGCTACAAACCTGAGTACTAATATCAAAGGTAAGGGCACTGTTTGTTTATCGGCATGTAATGGTAACATTGTCAACAAATTAAAGTTTCATGATACTTTGTACGTACCAGATTTGAGAAGTAATTTAATTTCTGTTTCGAAAATTACTGAAAATGGGCATAACATTACGTTTAAACGGAATGTTGCATATGTCGTGGACAGAAATGGGGAAATAATATTTACTTGTCATCGTAAGGGAAACCTATATTATTTTCGAGAATCTGAGAGTGCATGTATATTGAATAAACGAAATGTTGATGTACAGTTGCGGCATACACGTTTAGGTCATCCGAATGGAAAGGATATGTGAGCCTTGTTACTTTTACCAAATATATATATTTTACTTTCATATTTCACTATATTTACTGCCGCTGTGCATTCTACCCCTACAATGGAGTTTAAAACGAAGTGGCCGTATAAATGAAAAAAAAAAATTAAGTCCTAGTTTTTAGGAATCCCGGTAAGTCGGTGTATGGGTTTTTCGGACGTAGATTAGGATAACCGTTCATTTTCAGTTACATTTTTATTTTAGATGGTGCAAATATTAGGTGAAGGTCATAAAAGCAAAGAAATGTCGCGTAATCGACGTGTGAGGCTGAGTATGTGTGAGTTTGTCTGAGGCGATTGAAAGAAGCTGTTAAGCTTAATACTTTATTAGGTGAAATCGGACAATCTAGGTACGTACGTTTTACTTTACATGCCGATAGCTAAGGGGCGCTTTACTTCGCGTAAGACCTAGTGTGTATCATGCTTGCAGTAAACATGTTGATATTAAAATCACTTGATCATAGCCGTATTAAGGGACAACGATAAGATTGAAGTGAGACATGTACCCACTGAAATTATGGTAGCTGATGTATCCATAGGTTAACAAGTGTAGTGGTGTTTGTACTGTTTTACCGACTTAAATTTAAAGGGGCGTGTTGGAACTTAAATTTATATCTGGCCGTTATTCTGTAGAAGACAATTTGAATTTAATATAAAGAAAATGTCTTCTATTGTTCGTAAGATTTTCTATTGACATATCGTATGTGAGCCTTGTTACTTTTACCAAATATATATATTTTACTTTCATATTTCACTATATTTACTGCCGCTGTGCATTCTACCCCTACAAAGATGTCATATCTCCATAGCTTGTAATTTCACTGAGTTATTTTTAGTATACTATTTAAAAAGTATTTCATTCAGTCATATTATCTTTAGTTTATCTGCAAATAATGTTCAATGATTCACTGTTATAGTTTAATATAGATTTGTTTGTTCTTACCAGCAGTTGAATGAATGATATCTTTATTTAAACAAATTATTATACCAGTAGTATATAAATGTTTATAAGAGTAGCACCGGTTACAGCCTTCTCGTGTGCAAATATTTAATTACATTTGCATGATCGTACTAATAATTTAAATGTGAATGTTTGTTATGATGATTAGATATTTATTATTCGATCACGCTTTAACGGCTGAGCGGAATTGAAAGCAATTCTTATAGTCACGAGTGTACTCGAAAGCAATAAAATGCAAACAGCAGATTACTTTGTCATAATGTAATTGTTGACAACTATAAACATTTCTATGTATAAGTTGCTATTGATACAAGGTACCTACTAACAGGTCAATAGGGATAATAACCTAGGACAATTTACACAGCCGCATCTTATCCCAAGCTAACCAGACCTTGTGTTATGTTTACTAGACAGCTGATAGATATACTTAAATACAATTATATTATACATAGACAACATGCAAACGCTTACAAACAGTCATAGTAATGAATACAAATATTTGCATTATCCGTGGTATCGAACCCATGACCATTGAAGGTAAGGCCGTGTGCTAAACCACTAGAATACAAACGCCGTCATCGAACGAAAGTTGCCTGTGTCCATCAATTTGATGTCGATCTATCACGAGTTCACCTACCATGCATGTCCTTGATTAAGATATACTTTTCTTATATAATTTGCCGGTAAAGACCCAAAACCAGCTTACAAAAATGATAATTTACCTCGTATAATCCTCTGATAAATTGATACTAGTCCATTAATAATACGCCCTCAGCGCGAGAGGCCTATTAAACACGGCGGGTTATATAGAATAAATCCCATTGTGAAGCGTCTATAGCGCTTAAACCAGATTTCAGATACTTTCAGAATCAAATTTATTTTTATGAAAATATTTTATATACGAAAGACTGTAGTCATAAAGTGTTGGATACGTTTATTTGCATTCAAAGTGAGATTGATTCAAAACTTCTGGAAGCATTAAAATAACATCTGTCCGAACCAATTAATGACCGAAATGTTAATGAGAACACTAATTGATTCCATTAATTGGAAATATGTTAGTATTTTGGGGGCATATACTAAAGACATTAAAAGAATCTCATAAAATTGGACCAATTTGTCTCAGCCACAGTATCATAATTTTCATTGCAAATTCGATTGATAATAATTATATTATCTATTCCTATAAATAAAATTGAAGTGTCTATTTGTTATATTGATATAACCGTTTTTTACTACATGCTTATGAATATAAATACGGTACATACACCAAAATATTTTTTTTTACAAACTTTGTCTGCCTGTCGGTCTGTTTGTTCGGTCTGCTAATCTCTGAAATGGCGGGCCGATTTTGACGGGACTTTTTTCGCAGGTAGCTGATGTAATAAGGAGTAACTTAGGTTACATTTATTTTAGAAAGATGAAGTAAAATTCCACGCGGACGAAGTCACGGGAACAGCTAGTATTTTAGAAATTTGAAAAAATCTAAATGTGTTCTACTTCACTTCTAACATTCACCTGACTCGGTTTTCGGTGTCTTTTTTCTATGTACAGAAATTCGACCTCTACAGTTTTGTTATAAGTTTAGATTATGTTGGGAATATAAAAATGACATTTTGCTTTTCACAAGGATGAGTTCACTAAAACGCTAGTAGATTAGGTGTCATGTTCGTATGATACAAATCTCGTGATGTGTCGAGATATTGGAAATCCCCCTCGTCCAATTATTTAATTTTCCCCACCTCTGTCGCCACATATGACGAGACGAGACGACTGCGTGTAAACAAAAAACTGAAATCAATCAAGATCCTAATAAGTTTTTGAAATGTGAAATCATTTTCATCACTTTCTTATTATGAGTTACAATAACACGAGTTAAAAAAAATCTTTAAGACATTTACGGAACCCAGATATTAAAACGTGCCCAACACGAGCTTGGAATGTTTTTATTGGATTTCCGTAATGAATAATTTATCCTTCAAAATGGAGATATCACTGTCCCGATCTCTGAGGATATTTATCTCAATGAAATGAGGCAGGAACTTGAGATTCCCACAATGTTCTACCACGGATACAACACGTGGTAGCGGAATTAAACAAAAATAATTAAGTTTTTTTCTTCATTTCTATACTACATTTTACTATATTTAATATTATACATATAAGTAATTCTTTGATAACACGGAACCCTGCGTACACGAGTTAATCTCGTACTTGGACGGTTATTAATAGCTGTGTAAATGTAATCTCAAAATAGCTGGCGGTTGCAATGCCAAGAGTGGCTCCGACCTTGCAGAATGTCTTCCGTGTGATTTCGAATAAAATATTTTTCAACACGACTGAATGTCACATTTTCGAATGAAATTTCTTCCACATGTAGGCACGGTATATTTTCAATGGCCATCCATGGATATTAAGTAGAATAGCAAACAATGCAAATAACATAATAGCGTACATTAATACCTACTAGAATATTCATGGTTTTCATACAGTTGCAGATGAGCGGACCAGCATCTGAACATGCACCTATGATGCTCCCACTGCTGTACAAATAATCTAAGCGTTTTGAAACTGTGGAGCCGAATAGGGGAAAATAAAAAAAACCGAGTAGACGTCGAAACGTCGACACGACGATATTATATATATCCATTTAATTATAATAGTAATATTTTTTTTTTAAATAAAAATGTGATATTAATATAATTAAATACTAACCGTCACATATTTTATATATGAGAAAGAGATTATAATAACTTTTTTATTTTTCTATTCGGTTTGGTTTTTCTGGGTTCATATATTTGTAATAAAAAAATCAAGTCTTCTGTTTATATTAGTTTAGATATATGTGTGTAAGGTTTAAGATAATTTCAGCGTTAGTATATGATCCAAATTTAACCGCCTCAAACGCCAGTATAAATAATAGGCAGGGCTTATTTGGTATGTATGAATAATCGATTGAAATAAACGTGTGGCGCCAACTAGAATACTGTTTTGCCATTTGAATCGGTAAACTATATCCAGTTAGGTAACGTTATATTTTATTGATTAACCCAATCGAAATTTCAGTTTTACAAACGAACTGAGTCCTAATTGTTGGAAACTTCAACAAAAATAAGTGTTAAAACCTTTTTTATAATTTACTCATAATATTCAAATATAGAACGCTGTGTTCTCTATATTACGATTGTCATTTGTTTTGTTTTTAATGTGCTTCAATATTTTTGTTACACCGCTAATTATATCGACATTTTTTAATAAATACATATAATTACGATTTAATTTACAATTTAGTGTTTTATAATTATTTATGATTGCAAACGACGCAACTCATTGAGATTCACACACTAATTTCAATTTTTAGGTGTTTTAATTTACATATTTTTAGGTGTTTTTATTTGTACAATGTTCAATTATTATAATATAAAAGCATGGTATTTAACGACGATAATATTGCGATGGAAAGATTTTTATATGCATTTCCTTTTGTAATTTTCAAACGGTACACAGGACATTGAACCTGCTAAAGAGGCGAATTGGGCACCGAGTAGTGCACGGTGCGGTAATTAAAAAATATGACCGCTAAGTACAAATAAGTACAATTTCAACGGACTTACGTACAAGTAGTAAAAATACAGAGTAGAATAGAATCAACGATAGTAAACCTAATGGACATATATATATATATATATATATAGTAAGTAT